GAAGTAATATTCAATAACGGTATAGAACAAGGTTTCAAGAGACTCGTCCCAAAGATGTAATAGACATATCATTAATATCAAAGTTCATTGCAAGGTTAATATATAACATGAGAAAATTTTATTAAGATATCTGTCGTTTGTCCTTCATATATACTTATTAATATCTTTCATCATCAACATATATTAACAAAAGATAATAATTCACAAACCAAAACATATGTTGATAGTTTTTTCTCATCCACAATATAAGCAACTTTAATATTTTAATCTCACTAACAGCGTTGTCAATATCATTTACTATTCTTTAGTAGTATACAAGTATGTGAATAATATAAAAAATGTGATTATCATCATTACACGCTTACTAAGCTTTAAATCCGATTGAAATATCATAATCTCTTCTATTCTTAAGTTTCGATTTAAAAAAAATAAATATGAATTTTATAATCATATAATAATAACTTTATTTCTAGCAACTGAATCACTTGTTGAACCAACAAGTACTGGTTTAGCTTATCGTTCATCAACATCAACATTCTATTTACTTGATTGGAAAAGTAAAATTATAAGTGAATTTACAATAATAAATTCTAATTCATCAATAACAAATCTTAATAATAGTCAAATACATATAAATCATCAAATAACATGTTCATTATTTAATGAACCTGTACAAATAGCTTTATTTGAACAACATTTAAATTCATTACTTATATGTGACAATAATACATTATTAATTATTGATAATCGTACAGGTGATTTAATAAATCAAATTGATACACGTTCATTTGGTATAAAAACTATAAAAGCATTTACAACTAATTTACAAGATGATATTATAATTAGTGATCATCGTATACATATATTATCATATGATGGAAAATATTTAAGACAAATATCATCTATAAATCAACAACAAATTGTTGATGTTGATATACATATAACACATGAACCACCTGATCTTATTGCATCACATCATAAACAATCTTCAACAATACATCAACATACAAAATCTATGAATAATCAAATAATAAAAGGAGGTAAGAAAATCTTGTTTGTTTGTTTGTTTTTATTTCATAAAATGAATTAATTTTGATTTTCTTAGGATTTTATACAGCACTTTGTGTAGATAAAAATGGTCTTTTATTAGCTGGTAAATGTGAAAAAGATGGATATGCACATATTGAAATATATGATAATCAAGGTCATTTATTACGTATTATTGATTCTTATAATCAACGTTTACGACGTCCATGTTCATTAGTAACAACACAAGATGGTTGTGTACTTTGTGTTGATTTAACAACAGATTCAGTACGAAAATATCGATATGCTTAATGCTCTTTTTTGTCTCTCAGGTTTTGTTTTTCTTTTCTTTTATGTTTACATACATTTGTGTGTGTGTGTGCGTGTGTGTTGTGTGTCAGATAGCGAAACCTTTCCTTTTTTTTGTCCGTTAATTTGGTCCTATGTAATGAACCAAATATACATAAATCAAATTTTGCCATTATCAATGTAATTCATTAAAGTGGATCTACTCCTTTTCTCGATGAAGAAAGTTTTTAGACTTTCATTTTGTTATTTATATAGCTATAAAACTACTTACTGTTGACATGTCGATAGGTGGACCATCTATCAACATATCAACAATACACAGTAGAACTTGATAACACATATGCCATTAGATAATGAAAGTCTTTCTCTAGAAGTCCCCATATATCCTATTCTGTAGTTAAAACTGTATAGTTGTCTTTACATATTTTTTCGTTGTTTTTGAAAAATAAGTTTTTTTTTTACAAGAAAAAACAAAGTTGAGAACCACCCACATCTCTTGACTGTAGTATATCCAATCGAGCTGAAACTGATACGAGAATACATTTAGTTTTATTTGTCTCAAATATGATATACCATTAATTTTTGCTAGGGTTGACAAAGAAAAGCTCTCGTAAAAAAAAGAAACATGCATTTTTTATGGTGCCCTTAGGATTTTAGTGTTTTTATTCAAATGAAAGGAAACGAAAAGACATACCAAAGAAAGTTGGCAATTCAAACATTGTCTAATGTCTGTAAAAAAAAAGCTTCAACTCTACCAGACGTATTATGGCCGAAAGAGAGACGGAACCACTGTTTTTTTGCTCTTACAGGGACGTATCCGAAGGTTTTAAGTCTATGATAATTTTTGTTCTACTTATCGAGATCTCTCGAAATGTTCTGGTGAGTCGTTCTTCAAGAATTGCTTGAAAGGTTTCCTTAAGCTTGCATTGACAATGACAAACTTTGATTTACGTTTGTTTTTATTTGATTTCATAGGATCCGTTAATGTATGTATATTCGTTTATTGTTATTTGTGTAAAGTGTCGTCAACGTTCTTTCTTGTAGATATTTTTTTTTCTTTCATTATCTATGTCTTACATTGAGAAAATTCTTATATAAAATGAACACAAGAGATAGATTCCTCTGGTAATGTCAGTATAAATAAAGATTTTTATGAATAATACGCTTTGAACAATGTGTTTTTTTTTTTTGAAGAAAAGCTTAATTAAAGATGTGTATGAAGAAAAGAACAAGCATAATGTACATAATAAATAGATCAAATTTCATCGGAACAAATCCTTTTGAAGTTTTCTTTTTTTGAATTTTTTACGGATCATTATAATATCGAATCAAATAGTAATCGATATTGAAAGATGGTATATTTTTAACAAAACCTTATTATCGAACTCACATATATTTTTGACGAAAATAGTAAATGTAAGTTTAAACCAAGATTTTTACAGCTCTTCCTCTTTGTGCCCTAACAATCGAAAGCAGTGTTCAGAGATCTATGAGTACGTTTGCTTTAGGAACAGAGAACACAAAACATCAAACTTCACTTCCATAGTTCCTTAGTAATAGAAAAAGGTACTGAATGGCATTAACAACAAGACTTAGACTGTTCTTGAAATTAAAATGACTGACTGAAATACGTTTGTAAATACTCTAAATAGTGTAGTTTTTTTTATTTTTGCACAAATAAACATGTATATTCAAAATGTCAAAGATGATAGATAATGTTATATTGATTGGCTATAGTCATCATATAATTAACATAAAAAAAAAAGGTTGAACTGATCAAGTTATAACTTCAGCAATAATTAATATTCATGTCTGTAAGTTTATCAAGATGCATAATAATACATTGAGATCTGTTGTAGATATGATGGATGGATGTATATAAAAAGCTTATTTGTCAGTGTAATGAATGGTTAGAATAATAGTAAATGTTAAATTAAGGAAAACGGGCAAACAAAATAATAGAGCGACAATAAAAAGGACAAAAAATCTGTTCGAAACGCAGAAATAAATAAGACAGATTGTTCCTCTGGCGATCGATTATTCTTGAAAAAACAATCATAGTCTCTTTGAGACTTTTTATTGTATGTATTCTGTTATTAGTATAATAATGAGACTAAAGAACACATGTAAATTCTATATTATAGTCACAAAAGGATTGTACGGACAAGGTTTTATTGATTCCTGATTGTTTTCAATAATTTTCAGTTAGTTTTTTCATATTATTAACTCGTTATAGTAATTTCTAATTTTTTCATATCCTTGTAAATTCATGTTTGAGTATTGAATCGAATTCCTAAGAAGAATATATACACGGAATTCAATATATGATTTTTCGACAAAATATATAGTTTATCAAAATATTGAATTATTAGCTTTGAATTGCAACAGCTGGTTAAGAATACTTATCATTGAGGAATGTCAATATGTTCTTTTTATCTCTCATTACAAAGAGTGACTCTCTATTTAATTCATCCTACAATAGATTTTATTTAGCCCTTGTTTTTTTCTTTACAATCAACCCGTTGTAGCCAAAGTTTGATGTTCGCGATATCGATATATGGTATAAATATGAGCATGCAATGAAACTAAAAAAAAAAACGTTTGTACCATTTTATTTTGTTATGATGGATAATGTCGAATGTCCCATATCGAAATGTTAGTTTAATATTGAAATAAAACTATCTTTGCTTTATAAAATGTTTGTATAATCACTTTTGTAAAAAAGAAACTTATGTTGCAGTTATTGTTTATTAGAATCAGAATTATAAATTCTTCGGATATGTTAGATATATTTTTATATGAAAATATTCATCTATTAGATATAATAGATTTGTAATATTTCCTATAGAAATAAAAAAATAAACATGAATAAAATTTCTCTCTAGAAAATTGTACCATTAAAATTAGTCCTGATTTTTCTTATCAATTTAGTACTAATCAAAATATAAAACTAATCAAAACAAAATTCTAGACAAATATTATTTCCTTGTCAATCATCAACTCATCACTTCGAATATTATGCATTCTTAGAGATAAAAACATTTATGAAAGCATAGATCTACTATCTTGTGAAAGAACGATTAATCGTAACCAAAAAAAGAAACATCCTCCGAGACCGCCTCAGAAATTCTATAGGCGATTTTGCTGAAAAAACACGTTTCCGGACGAGATATGCAATTACTTTCCTATCTTAATCTACCATTAGTATTGATGAGTATTTTTTTTTTGGATTATCTTCTAGATGATTAAATGTAAAAGTTTACAATTATATCTACCGACGGAAATAACGGGTCTTCCTGTTTAGTATTCATTTTATCTAGAAATAGAATTAGATGATGTTGATGAAAAAAAAAATGTAATTATAATGTAAGCTCTCATAAATCACTACTAAGCGACATCTTTGAAAAGAAACGAAAGATTGGTTCCATTATAAATCCATCCATTTGGAAGAGATATTTTTATGATTCATCTGATTTGCTTACTTCTTCTTTAAACCGGAAATAATCATTTCGACTGATTATTGTTCTGTTTTTATTGTGGTTTTATTATTTTGTATTATTTTAGAATGAATTTTGAAATTTTTTAATCAAAGAAAAACAAAAAAAATAATAATAATAATTTAAATGATAACAAATTTATTTTAATTTTAACAAGAAAAAGCAAAAATGCATAAAACATCAAATACAACAACAACAACAACAGGAAAAGTTTCAAAGAATCGTTCTGTAAGTTGATTCGTTTTTTTTTTCATTTCTTTTATAGTGACTATTAAATAAAAAAAGAGAAACGAAAAAAAAAAACTTAATGTAATTATTTGCTTTATTCTGATGTGTTTCTTTTTTTCTTCTTATGATTGAAAGCAAATACACGTCTTTCTTTATCTTCATTTCTCATCGTTGTGAATATTACTCATTAAAAAACAAAAAAAAAAAAAAGACGACTGAAAAATCAAGAATAATCTTCTACCAATTTAGACTATAATCAATTTGTTTATACAACCATTATGCTAAATCTCAACAAAAAAAAAAACAATTAAGGAGCTTATTATAATGACAAATGACAGACGGTTTATTGAATATGTCTTGACGCAGTATATCATGACATAGATTCTTATCAATAAAGAATATATTGACACAAAATATTTGTTTATTAAAGAACAAAAAAAAAAAAACAATGTTCTTGTTTAACACTTTGCTATTAAATAACAATTTATTTCTAAAAGATTTGAGTCTATTATTTACAAATAATTTCTTTTGAATATATTTCAAATGGAAAATTAATAGTATTTGAAAGATATGTTTAATACTCAATGTAATATATTTTAATATGAGAATAAATCTGATTTCTAAAAGAAAATCATTTTGCGAATTAGAATTTTAATTTCGTAGATTGTTATTTTATTAAACACAATTACGAATGTCTATCAAGATAAAAGACATAAAATCACTTCGAATAGTAAGTGCATAAACTCTTCAATTATGTGTAAAAAAATCTATTTCTGTATTTATGATATTAATTAAATATATAAATTTTTGAAAACTAAATTCTTAAATAAATATCCTATTATTACAATAAGCATATAGAAAAATAATTCAATATTTTTCTATATTATGTCTATTAATAATCATGCCTGCTATTTCAAGTTCAAATAATAAAAAAAGAAATTCTTATCTCATATGACCTTCTACATTCAGCTTTCCTCAAATAAAAACGAACAAAAAGCAAATCTTTTATGAACTTACTCATCTGTGCCCTTCAAAGAAATGTAGGTATACAGTCTTTTTTTTATAAAAGAGACATGCGAAAAGAACGAATAAAAAGACATATTTTTTATACATACAATCATCACGTTCTTCATTTGTAAGAGTATATTTAATCATATGATGACATATTCATCTTAATAATGGATAACGAAAGAAGTAAAAAAGTATTCAAATTAAAAACATTTGATGAGATTAGACGTGATATTATTTGCGAAATAAATATTTTCTCAAAAAATCGACGATCAGAAAAGAAATTATGTTCTACAATAACAACAAATACTCAGCTAAATATTGAATCGTGTACACAAAATTATGTAAGACATGAATATTAAATATAATTATTTCAATGATTTTTGTTATTTTGATATAAAAATAAGATTTTTATTTGTTTATTTAGGTTAATACGGATTCGGATAATGGTGATGAGTCAGATGATGAAGCTACTAGTGGAGTTAATGATAAATTGGCTACAGCAAGTGGTCAAAAAAGACAAAAACAACAAAAGGTTAAGCATTGTCTTTTGTTTTGTATATAAAAGAAAAAAAACATGAGAATGAAAAGTTAATATTGAATGAAATGATTTAAACTCAATTAACATTTGATAATCATTATGAAATATTTATAAAAAAATTTTTTGAAGTTTTTACAAAATATATTTAGACATATGCGCCGGAATTATTACCAATGAAATCATGTGATGATTCATCAAAATCTATGATTACGCTATCGAATTATTTAATGAAAAAACGTAAATGGCCATATCGAGGATGGCATAAACGTTTTTTTGTTTTACAAAATGGTTATCTAATGTATGGCAAATCTGAACAAGAAGTAAGATTTTAGAAATTGGTTCTGGTTTTTTTGGAGAGTGGGGAGGGGAGGCGGAGAGGGAAAGGATACTTTGACATAGTTAGATAGAACTTGAAAAGTTCTACAAGACTTCTGAATATTACAACAACAAAATTGAAAATCAACATGAAGGATTATGTAGTTTTTCTATGAAGAAAATTTACTCAACTTTTTAATAACATTAACTTTATCTAAATATCACATTTTGTTTAAGAAGTTTGACAAGATTATTTTCAGATTCAGCATGTAAAATCACAACTAGAAATATATAATGAGTAAATTCTCTATATCTAGTTGTGATTTGGCATACTGAATCTAAGAATGGTTTTATCGAGATTAAAAAATTTAATCATTTTTTTCATAGACATATTCCCGTAGGGATCAACAAGATTTTTCCATCGAAATAAAAATATCATTTGATTTTCGAACTATTAAAATCTTAATTAAACTAAAATACAAATAAATAATTTTTTCTTTTTCTTTTTTACAAGATAAAACGTGGTCGATATAGTGGTAAATGTGATATTGGTTTATGTATTGTAACATATATTCGTGAATTACATCGAATAAATATTGATGAAACAAATTCTGTTTATCATATTAAAATAAAAGATAAAAATACATTTGAACAATGGCTTGAACAAATTACTATACATCGACATAATCGACAAAAAATACTTGAAGAACAAAGTCCATTAATAAAAAATTCAATTAATACTGATGAATCAAAAAAAGAAACTAATGATAAAAGTTCATTGCCAACAAATAATATTATACAATCATCTGATCGTTTATTTTATAATGGTAAACAAAACAAAAATAAAAAGTTAATTCTTCATTTTTCTATTCAATAGATTTTGCTGATATTCAAGTACAATTAAGTAGTCTATCGGATATACTTGAACAAATCAAAATAAATACTGCAACAACATCAAGTATATCATCAAGATCAATAGTAAGAATTTCTTTTTTTTGTTTTTGTTTTCTTTATTTTACATTTAATTATTCTTAGGATGGTGGTAAAACAAGTAGTGGTCATACACCATCAGCTAGTATAAGTAGTATAAATTCATTTACATTACTCGATACTCAACGACAAGATTATTTTGAAATATCAAAAAAAGGTTTTTGATTAATAGGAAAAATTATTAATGAAATTATTTTTCTTTTGAAAAATTTTCATTCTAGTTTTTGATAATTTAAATAATCTTTATAAACGTTTATCTGTTCTGGCTATAGAACAACAACAACAATTGGTAAATTAAATTTATAAAAACAAAAACAAATTACTATTGTTTTTTTTCTTTTAGATTAATCCAGTAAATGTAGGAACTAGTAATACTCTTCAATCAGTATCATCAACATCGACGACTCTATCTCGGCATGAATCAATTTTTTATGATGCTCCTGACGCTATTAGTGTACTTCTTTTAAATGAAGATAAGGATGAAATTGAGAAAATGGTAAGTCATTAAATATAACTATTCTACCATCAGTTCAAATTTAAAGAGATAAAAATTTTCAATCAATAGAACTAATCTTTTGCAAACATAGATTAGTCTTATAATTGATAAATTATCTTATTACTGTCAAGATACTGCAGATTTATGGTATTAAAACAAAGCTATGATCTACCTTAGGGATCACTGTCTGACTTAGGTCAGGTCATGAAAGAAACAGTTGGCCTCGAATCGGGTCGGGTTACGAAAAAATTTTTGCACTTCAAGATAAATCTGAATTCTGAACGTTTTGCAGATTAAAAAGGCACTCGGAATATGGTTTTTTTTTTTCATTTAAAAGTTCTATAAGAGAGCGTAAAAAAAAACTTCGCAGAAGAAGAAATTATGTATTGCACGATCTTTTCTTCTACTCCATTGACTTTTCTTTATTGGCTTCGGATAACAATGCATAATGAGTGTACTGTGTGTTCAATGATTCCATATGGGTTGCAGGTTGTATACATTAGAAAAAGAAAGACAAACAAGAGAACATTCTATCACATAATTGTATTGTTTCAATTGTGGAATATCGGCAAAATGTCAAGGACATGTCGTTTTTCTTTTCGTCTGTTAAATGACAGGAAGAAAAAAATATTGAGAAATTGATTTTTCATCTTGAAACTTTGCATAGAGGCAGATTTTGAATTAGAATAATGTTTTTTGAGAATGTTTCAAATCTTATCGATGTTCTTATCCTACGATACAATTATGATAATAGCGTATCTTTATCATCAGTTATATATCATCGATAGATTTTATTTTCTTATTTTAGGATAGAAGCCAATAAATAGATCTGAAACTTTCACAATAAACTACTTCCATGAAGACGTGTCTCTATGCATAAAGTTTCAAGTCGAAATTTGAAAATAAGTATTTCTGTCATTATGATATTCATTGAAAAAAATACTATAAAAGCACAGTATCTTCACAGTAATAAGTTAAGAAAATCAACTCTTTTCAGAGTATTCATAATTCATTTGAGTCTAAATACGCCATATGATTTCAACTCAAAAGCAATTTATCATTTGAAGGACTTCCGTCGACAGTTACCGGAATACCGATCCAGAAATCATAGGCTGGATCTGATGTATATCTAATATAAATGATAATTAGTTGTTATAGAACAAGGGTCAATGAAGATTTATACAAGAACATTTAGACAGTCAGAACTGGGACGCGTATACATCCAGTATTTTATTTAACTAATATCTTGCTGATTTCTGCAAATAAATTCATATTTTCATTTGTAGTATTTTTCATCATTAAGAATAATCTGTCTATAAGCTAATTGAAATGTATTTTTTTGTTACAACTACAGATCTTCTCTTCTATGGACTTATTAAACTTTATCTATTGAAAAGATTGGCAAAACTGTATTCATTTTTTTTTTATTGACAATCTATTTTTATAAGGATAGTTATGATAAAAATAATCAATAATAGAAAGAATGACAATAATGAAGTTAATGTTCTCCACGGGGACAACGTTTCATATCCGGACTCGATCCGATAATGTTTCAATGCTCGATACCGGAATCGACCCGACTAGTCAGTCGCTATCCGAATCTATATTTTAGGTCGAATTGTATGACACTAAATGAAGGTTAGACAGCTCTTAACTAGATTTTACATAGTAGCAGTCAATCTGAATTTTCAAAAGAAAATTTATCAGTTTGAAAAATATCGATTCTTGAGATCATACGTAGTTGTTAGAAAAAAAAAGGAATGCATACAATTAAAAGCAAAATTTATCAATTTTACATTTTATTTTTAACTTCGAAAGATTTTGTTCTTTAATACTTTGGTCGAATGTCTTCTTCTGAACGAAAATTATGGTAAGAAAAGAAAAAAAACAATATTCCAAGACAAGAAATCATCAATCTGAGTTTTAATAGTTTCCTTAGTCTTTTTTTTTCAATTATCTCGTTTGTTTCTTTCTCTCATTTTTCGTTTTTTTAGTCTGACTTTGATTCATCAAGTTGTGGTGATGATGAAAGTCATGCAGGTGATCTTTCTCCTATATCAGCTATTCCACCGCAATTAAGTATGTCTATGTTCTTCTTATCTAGTTTGTTTTTTAAATTTAAATTTTATTATTTTCTTTTTGTAGAATTACCTGAAATAAAATGGCGTCGATCATCATTACCATCGTATGCACCAGATACATCAAATATTGGCTTATGGAATATAATGCGTAAAGCGATAGGAAAAGATTTATCACGTGTAGCAATGCCAGTTATATTAAATGAACCATTAGGATTATTACAAAAATTATGTGAAGAAATGGAATATTCAGATTTACTTGATCGTGCATCACAAACAGATGATGTTTATTTACGTCTTGTTTATATAGTAGCATTCATTGTATCAACATATTCATCAAATTATTATCGAACTGGACGAAAAAATTTTAATCCTTTATTAGGTGAAACATATGAATGTATACGAGAAGATAAAGGATGGAAATTTCTTGCTGAACAAGTAAATTTTTTTTTTTATGTTTTGGAATTTCTTATAGAAAAATGACACGCTTTCATTTGAAAAGTCATTTATATTATTTTGTAGAGTGACCTGGCGGGCATCGAGTAGTATATAAGAAATTTCTTTTTTCATCAAGTTTTTTTTTGTCGTAGAAAACCATGTACAAGTTCAGAGATGCTATGGCCAAATATTATGACCTAATATGTCTTCAAATCAATCTATATCAAATTTTGTTTAAAATCACTTTAATAAAGTTTGGTTTATTCTTCGATCATGTATATCTAATAATACTCACAATTGCTTTCTTCGCACCCAAAATCTTAGTAGCTTCTGTAATGTTTTACTTTTATTTCTCAGAAATTGTGTGCTACCAAACTCGATAAGTATGCCAATTGATTGTTCTTTGAATTTAAGTGGATTGTGGTCAAATTGGTGAATCAATATCTCCAAAAATGCCAATTGTTCGATTCCTAAGAACAGAAAAGTCTCTAACTAATAATAAGAAGTTCATCATTTTCTATCACTTGACATATATGGATCTATCGAAAATAGCAAAATAAATTTTACACGTTGAGATCCTTGAAGTAGGAAAGCGAGTACGGACTATTACAAATATTTTATTCCTTAAGAATTTAATTTTTGAATATCTGAGTATGATTAGAATATGAAACTCTATTAGATTCAATATATGTTTGATCTCTTATCAGAATTAAAAATTTTGTATTTTCCTCTGTACCTTTTCAGGCTTCTCAAAGCGGAAGATTTTTTTGCCATTTTCGAAAGATCGATATATGTCAAGTGATAGGGAATGATGAACTTCTTCTTAATAGTTAGAAACTTTTCTATCCTTAGGAATCGAACAATTGTCATACTTATAGAGTTTGATAGCACACAATTTCTGAGAATGTTGCACGGTTGATCATTTTCGTCTTCAGGAACAGTATCGAAGAATTTAAAATATCATAAAAACAAAAAATTACAGAAGCTGTGCTAAGATTTTGAATACGAAGAAGACTATTGTGAGTATTATGAGATATACATGATTGAAGAACAAACCAAACTCTATTGACGTAATTTTAAAAAGAAACTTAATATAGGTTGGTTTGAAGACACATATTGAGTCATAATATTGGATCATAACACCTCTTAACTGGTATATGATTTTTCATGACAAAAAGCTTGATGAAAAATCAATTTCTTATATATCAATCGCTGTGTCACGAGTTATTCTATAAAGCAGTATAAGTAGCTTTTCAAATGAAGAGTTGTCATCTTATTCGACTGGATCCTTTAATTTTTCTATATGTTTAGGTTAGTCATCATCCACCAATTAGTGTTTGTACTTGTATTTCACCAAATTTTATATTTTCTCAAAGTAAGACAATGAAATCAATAGAAATTTTATATGAGTAAGTTTTTGTTTTAGAATTACAAGCAACAGTAAAATTTTGGGGTAAATCAATGGGTAAATATTTTCTTTTACATTTTATAAATAATTTTGTAAGTTTATTTTTTTTAATTTAGAAATACTTCCTGATTCACTTAATAGATTAATATTACCAAAATATAATGAAATAATAACATGGAATAAATGTACAATGTGTATACATAATGTTCTTTCACCTGAACGATGGATTGATCATTATGGTGATGTTATTGTTGAAAGTTCATTTGGTATTAAAGCTCGGATTAGTTTTATTCAGGTTTGACTTTTTTTTTCTTCTTTATTTATAACCAAAAACAAAAACGAACAATCAGAAAATTATTTTATATTTTAAATAATTTAAGAGTGATTATCGAACACGTTTAAACAATGTAGCTGGTGATATTGTAGATGCTACAGGAAAAGTAGTACATAAAATATTTGGTCATTGGCATGAAAATGTTTTTTGTGGAAACGATCAAACAGCTAAATGTATTTGGCGACAAAGTATGTAATAAGACAAAATAATTTATTATAGATAGAGCATAAAATAATATCTGTTAACTTGTAAAATACATTAATGAATTTGGTTGTTAATAAACAGATATAAACGAGATTAGTATTTTTTTAGTTATAGTTCTAATCTAATGGAAATAAACTAGGAACAGTCTTGTTTATAATTACTAAAACTCATGCTTGATTGTTGAGTCTAGGCATAACTTAATGAGAAAAGTATATAAATAACATAGATATTCGTTTATTTTCATAATGTACATTGATCAGAGTTCTTCTTTAGAAGAAATACATTCTCTTTCCTAATGAGAGAACTATCTGAACTATAATTTACCGTTTGAGCTCATATTGAACTCAAAAAAAAGGAAGTTACAGTGAGGCTAGAATAAAGTTTAAAATAGTTCGTATTTATGAATCTCTCGAGGCGAATTATGACTGTTTTACTGAATTTTCGACTCAGTTTTAGGTATTGACTAGAAAATCAAATAATGAAGTTTCAATCTGAAATTTTGTCGATAGGTAGGTCTAATGATTTTTGGAATATTCTGAAAGTTTAGCCGGAAAAAAAAATTTTCTTTGTCCAGATATTCAATTTCCAACGAATAGTCACTTGCTATAGACATGTGACAAAAACCGAGTTTACTTGGAAATTTAATATCTCGACAAAGAAACATTCCTTTCGGCTGAATCTTTCAGGATATTCCAAAGTTCATTAAAACCTATCTATGGATTGAAGTTCAGGTCGAAATTTCATCATTTGATTTTCCAATAAATACTTTAAAATGGATCGAAAATTTAGTAAAACGAACATAACTCTGCTTTAGAGATCCATGAGCACGAGCCCCGTGAGAATTTTTCTATTCTTATCAAGGTTTCTTTGTGATTCGAATACGAGTGAAACCACCATGGTTGAGTAGCTACATTGTTTGGCACGTACACACAAAGTAGTGTATGCAAATCTCAGTACCACTGGTCATGATATGATCTTAGACAATTTACTAACGATTATTTGTCCCTGATCATTCATTCAATAGGATGCTGACTATATTGTGATATACATCCTCTCTTATGTCTAGCATATAATGAGTTAGTGTATATGAGGAACACAAGTTATTGAATGCAAGAACTCTGCGCTAAGTCAACGTTCTTTTCATACCTACAGCTATTATATAGTTGTATGGAAAATATTGGACTAATGAATCTGCCGCTAGACAACCTCCTATACCGGAAGGTAGCTAAAAGGTAGGAGTACTTTTCCTTCCTTCCAATATGTATTCAAACGATGAATTACAATAACTTTGATCTTAAAACAACTACGCTATATGAGAGTGGAAGGAGATGATACTATGCTTAATCTTCAGAAATCTTTGGTTGATATTGATAACTTTGCAAATGCGTCCATCAGTTGTAAAAATGATGTTTGAACTTGCTTGACTAGTTCAATCATTCTTGTTAATGCAGAATACTTTAAATTTTATCTAGGTGCTGTACCGGAAAATTCGAAACAATATTATGGTTTTACTCGGTTTGCTATTGAATTAAATGAACTTGATGATGATCTTCGAAAGCAATTACCACCAACTGATACACGTTTTCGACCTGATCAACGGTTTGTTAATTAATTTTTTTTTTTGTCTAATCCGAGTTTAATTATTTATTTTTTTCTTATCTTAGTTTATTCGAAGCTGGACAAATCGAACAATCTGAAAAAGAAAAAGCTCGTATAGAACAAGCTCAACGAAAACGTGCTGCTGTTGATCCATCTCCTAAATGGTTTAAACGAGACGGTGATTTATTTGCTCTTATTCGTGATGAAGATTCACAAAATAATTATTGGAAAAAACGTGAAGAAAATTGGACTGATGTCGAATTTATAGAACTATGGTAGATAGACATGAAATATGATTGTGCAATTACAATCTTCTTTTGATTTTTTTTTTCTTGCTTTGCTTACTAGTCATTTTGTTTTTATCTCTGATAGAGTGACACAAAGGATATTGAAATGAATGTTAAAGAAGAAAAAAAAAATATTCATTGATGTGCAAATTAATAGCATTATTTAATTTTCTCTTTATGTAATATCTCGTTTTCCTTTTTTTTCTTTTTGTTTGTTTATTTTCTCAAACTATTATCTACTATACTTTGTTTTTAATCATTAAGACTCACGAGTAAGACATACAGTGCAAAAGTTAAAACGAAAGACAATATATATATAAAAGATTATTGAATTGAAATATTTTGATGATTACAAAAAAAGAAGAAAACAAAAAAACTTATTTTTTCATAAACAAAATATATCTTTGAAATATTATCCATACTGTCCATTAGAAAATATTAAAACTTCTTGTTATATCAAATTATTTTTAATTCCAAACGAGATTAAAGTACTAAATACAAGTATATATGAGCGCATATGGAACTCTATAACATATGGCACGAAACTTTTTAACATGAAACGTTTAGTTTAACATGCAATCAGTAAGAATAAAGCATTAGACGTTATTTCATAATTGAGTGTTTCTATAAGAAAACGTTTTTTTTTTTTTTTATACTGAAGTAAAGAACTCTCATTGACTTATTTAGCAAAAAAAGAATAACGGAAGACTATACAGATTAATTAATCTTGATATTTTAATCTATGGTTCTAAATATAAACAGTTTTTTTTCCTTAAAAGAAAGCATGATTTCTTTTTGAAAAAAAGAAAAAAAGAATTTAATTGTGAAAAGATCCTTATTTATGATAAAATAGACTGTGGATGTGATTTTATGTATCTTCCAGTGTTCTTTATTTTATGACATGCTGAATAGTCTCCTAGAAAAAGATGGTCGATGATTAACGTCGTCTAACAAGATAGCTACAGGTAGATATTACAGAAAAAAAATTTATTATTATTCAATTTTACTTATTTCATGTGAGATTTAACTGATAACCTTATAATTAAAAGATATAACAATCTCATTGAATATTTCTACTAAATAAATGAAATATAATGTTAATCCATTATCTGCGTGATCATGCTGTGTGTTCACATAACCTTTCAACCAATTATATTGATGAAATTAATTTAGGTTGTCATAGATTCTCATTATATTCTAAATCAGAAAATTCTTTTTCTTTTCTGAATTCACATTTGAACTTAATAACCGTAAATCTTACAATTTACTTTCTTTTCAATAGAAGAGAACATCATATTCCGTTTATAAGTATTATTTTTATATGCAAAATAAGCTTCTTTTACAAATACTTATATATCACAACACAATATTATACTTAAGCAATATATTACTTTTGTTTCATTTGTAATGAATAGAATTTGTTCTTATATTTTACGTTATTAAAGTTCATGATCATAAAATAGCTTGAATCAAAAGCAAAAAGTAATGGCAAAATACAAAAAAATACTTCCAATCATCATATGCATTTTTTTTTTTTATTTCAAAAACTAATTCTATATGATTTTTGTTTTTAGTTTTGAATAAGGAAAATAGAATACGAATTCTTTTCTTTTAGTGAGTAGAATACATCCAAAAAGAAAAAAATTTGATGCGAAACATGTCACACGCTAAGTAAAAAAAAAAAAAAAAGAAAAACTGTCAGTCTGGATCGAGTAACGAGAGTAGTCGGGTTGCTTAGTGGCGTTCTTCCTTCTGTTTCTTCATCATTCTGTTTTTTCTTTTTTCTTGTATATATTTCATTCTCATAATTATTTTGTGTCCATCTCAATTCAAAAAATACAATTAATTAAAAAAATTTCATTTGCATCAACAGGTAAATAATATTTCGGTTTTCAAATTTTACTTTTGACTTCTTTATATGACTGACAACTAAAGAAATATGATTTTGTTTAGAGAATACTATTGAAATAGAACGAAAAATTGATTATTATTATTATTTTTTTTTTTTCGTTTTTCTCGACACTGATAACGAGTATTTTTCAAGTATGAAGAGATGATTTGAAAAAGAAAATGCTTGAAATACAGAGTCAATACATAAGAAGAACAAAAAAACAAAACTCTCAACAGTCTATTCAATATTTTATCGTTATTTTCAGATTGAAATTAAAGCTTGTTTATTGTTAGCTTAGAAATATACATCTGTCAGAAGTACAAAAAATAATTTCTTGTTTTTGAAATCAAACTATTCATAATTTTCATAACAAAAATATTTGCATCACAATTCTTCCTGTTATGTAAATTTTCTTAACAGACATATGTGAAACTGCTGTTCATATAGACATTTTTTTAATTAGATATGACAGCACCTTCATGATCAAATTTATATTAATGTAAAATAAATCTTAGAGTTTACTCATTAAATTTTCAATGTAACTTATTTGAAGTACGTACTATTTTCATAATTATATCTAAAAACATTGCATTGAATATTGTTGACAAGAAGTATAGAAAATATAAGATTTAGTTAAACTAGAAGAAAAAAAGAAAAGGAAAACTCAAGCACAAAAACAACATTGTCAGTTGTGAATAAGTTACGGTTCATTACACATCATAGTTATGCTCATTAGTCGTCCGATAGAAAGTGTTTTGATGCATTGCGCTTTCCTATACCTTCTTTTCTCTGTTATTCGCTTCAAGCTTAACATCTTTTCATTCATGTGTATGTGGGTTGATGGCAGCATCCATAACGAACTGCGATGATAGTGATTATCATATATTTTTCTGTTCTTTTTTTTTTCTCGGTTTTTCTTCTTCTTCTTTCTTTTTAATGTCTTTTAACTGTTGGAAAGAAAGACAACACACGGTAACAGGTATGTGTGCATAAAAAATTTAAAAAAAAGAGACACAATATAATAAAGAAAAAGGATGTCATATTCATATTATAACTGAGATCTTTTTAACCATTAATTTGAACAACGTAATTCATATTTATTCTTTTTTATTTCTTCAATCATCCAGAACGATAGTTCTTTTCTTTTACTATTTCATAGTTTTTGTTTTTATTTGTTTTAGTTATTGTTTAAATTTTCTTTTGCTAACCTTCTATCATAATGTCTATTATACTCGAAGATTGACTAACTCTAAGTCTTAAAAAGAAAAAAAAGTAAGAAAATCTTGAGGCATTTTCTTCGTCTTCTTCTTCTTTTCTTTTGTATTTGCTAACACTAATGTAAATAGGTAAAGGAAAGTGATTTTTTTCCTTTTTTTTTTATACAGGAAACAATTTTTTTTCTTAGCATCGACGTCTGCACGTAGTAGTAATAGTAGATTATTTGTTTTACAGGAACTATCGTTATCAACAATTTAGATAAAAAATATAAAAAAGCGTGCATGATTTCAATTATTCCATACAAATAAGAAAAAAAAACAATCTAGTTGACTTCAAATGAATCTCATTCACTGCAAAACAAATATATGTATAAATTACTTATTGAATGAGTATACTAGTAGATACTATTCGTTTTTCTTTTTCCTTCTCTTTTCTTGCATTATTATTTTTCATTCAATTTGGTGTCTCAAGCATACTCAACTGCGTAACACCAATATGTTTTTCGTTTTTTTTTCTTCAAGTCACGATTTGGACATGTGACTAAGTAGCAGAAAAATATGTTGTCTTTCAATCTTACCTTATCATAAAGTGTAACAAAATACAACTTTCGAAGTAGATATATATATGTATTTATAACTTTATTTAATATAATGTACATCCTTACAAGTTATTCATATTTTAAGGTAACGTATATTCATACGGAGCGCAATTAATTATATATAGATAATAATTGTGCAGTGTGTAAGAATTAGAAAAAAACATGTTAAAGTATCCGATGACGTCAATCAAAAATAAATACGTAGGTTGTTTGACAGAAATGGACAAAAAAAAAAAAGATTATGTGTTTGACATACATTTTTTTTGTTATATTTTCAATATCAGTCATTTTCTAAGGCATCTATAGAATTTCTCTTTCTTTTATTTTCAAGATCGAATATTTCCACTAGTGAATGGTCTATTCATGGGTGGACATTTCAGTTCGGCGACGCTGGACGACGCCACAGTGGCTATGATTAAACGTAAAACAAGAATGAAATCATCTGAAATCACAAATTGGTTTAATGAACTCAAAGTAAAAGTTATAGAAATGTCTTTGGTCATATTCAATTAATAATAATAGATTTCTTTTTTTTTTCTATATTGTATAGGAGAAATTTCCGATTTCTTTTCCATGAAAATTAAAAGAATGTAACAAGAATTTTGTAGAATGTAAACCATAAGGTTCTTGTTAATCCTTTGGTTACAATGTTTTTTGAAAGATGACAAAAAAATGCCAGTTTGCTTGTAGAAGTCTGGAATCGAGTATATGCATCAAAGGAAAATAGTGGATTACATTAAACTTCAGCCAACACCATAAAATTTAATAGTTGCAGAATCGGATAGAGTTGCCTAAAATCTTTCATAGTTTCATGTATAATTCTATAATTCCATATAATAATATAGGTCTAATAAAATTCAACGTTTGACCTTCTGTAAGATTAGAGCTTCAGCAATAATCGTAATTTTCTATGATTCTATGCAATTTTACGAATTTCTATTGAGTTTCATAGGACTATAAACAGTTTGGGTCGAAAGAGAGCTTACGAATTCTCATCGACTTCTAAATTTTCAATTTCTTTTTTTTTTTTACGTTTGGTATATATGTACAGTGATATCATATCATGATGTTGAAATACTCAAAGCAAAAGGGAAATAGAGAATACTTCATAACTGAAGAAAGTGCAAAGATTGCAAAAGTTACAATTTGCATAAAAACCTTAGTATGTGCATATATTTACAGGTCCCGTAATCAAAGAATCACTGTAGTTTGTTAGTATAAAGAAAAACACAAATAATGGCACATCTGGTGCAACATTTTCTTCCTTTGATGTATCGCTATCAAAATAACAACAAAGAGAAATAAACAAAAACAAAACTTCAGGTATATCTGTAGTATTTTTTCTTACGAATTGAACAGACAAAAAAAAAACAAAATAAAGATGTTATTTATACGTCTTTACAATAGACACAAATAATCTTTATAATCTTCTAATGAATTCTATGAGAATCTTTTTATCATTAGTACATAACAAAATCTTGTATTATAAAAAGAATAATCAATTCGTATGTCTTTATTATGTCATTTAGTCACGATGTCCAAATGGTAAAATGACAAAAAAAGATATGTTAAAATGTTATAAAGACTTAAGTACGTGTGATATGGATAAAGTTGAACATGTTGTTAATGCTATATATCAAGCGTTTGATACAGATAAGGATGGTAAAGTTGGTAAGAAAATATTCTTGTTTTTATTATTTCTATATTGTAAAAATATATTTCTATATCAATAGATTTTAAAGAATTTGCTATTGGATTTTTATTAACAACAAAAGGTTCAATAGAAGAAAAACTTGATTATACATTTCAAATTTATGGTATAAAATATTCATTTGAATATCAAAAAAAAATGATTTTTGGTTTGTTTTAGATATAGATAAAGATGGTTATATTGACCAATCTGAAATTGATATTATGGCTAAGGTATTTGAAATTTAAATTATTTCAAAAAAAAAACAAAACAAAAGAAAAGAAAAGATTGTTTTATATTAATTTAATTTTAGTATGTTTTACGAATGTTAGGTGGTAATGGTAATGAAGGTGAATCGGTTGAATTGCTCAAACATTTCATTGCTGCATGTCATTGTAATGAACAAGGTCTTATAACAAAAGAAAATTTTATTCAAGCTTTATCAAAAAATGAATTACTTAGACAACTTTTATCTCCTTTTACTTAAAAGAATTCATTATGTTTAAATCTTGTCAATGCAAAGCAAAGAAAAAACACCAAAATCTTCCTTTGCTCTATCTATTTCCCAATGGTTGTAAAGCTTTCGATTTATTTTATTTTTAATTGTCATGTGTATTTTTATTTTCCAAAAGAAAAATGATAAAAAGAAGAAAAACAAAACAATTTAGAATTGAAAGACAATCAAATATTACATTCTAACATATTGTTTGACGAGTAAAATTTTTTTGATGATAAATTATTAACACAAATTCAAAGAATAATAATGATGCATTTAACACCGACATATATCAATGACAACACAATTTCTCGTAGAAATATGTCTATATAGAAAAAAAAAAAATTATTGTGTGAATTGAAAATTATGCTTTTTTTGTTTTTTGTTGAGAAAGATTTATTTGACATAAGAAATTTAATCTAATTCAATTTATGTTATAATAATGGCCTTGATGAGGTAGATATTTTTTCTGCCTCAAGTGAAATCAAATACAGTATAGATTGATTTTCTTGTAGATGAACCAAAGATAAAAGGAAAATCATTTTCTGACACGTTAGAATAAACAGATACTTCGCACTTTTATTCAATTAAGTGTCATGATATAAATAGAAACATATATGAAATAGACAAAATATTAATTTATAAAATTATAAATGAAATAAATCTTAATCGAAACTATTTTTCCATCGTACTAAATAAACTTCAGTACTTTTTTAATAATATTTCTTATCTTTATTTCATTACTTTGATCAATTATTGTGACAGAATTTTTCTTTTATTACTATAAAATGTTGATTAATATGTCACATAATCTTATCGATACTGATATATCATTCGTGTGAAATAATTTATGTGCGTAGATTTCACCATTATGTCATACTACTAAAAACTTTGCTTTATGAATATCATTATAGATACACTGGCATTCATAGACGAGTATAAAAATATCAATATAGTTATCGACATTCAATATAAAATCGATTCTATAGTTTCTATCTAATTAATATTTCTTAATAAACTCATAGAGGAAGAATGAATAAGGTGAATCTATTTTTTTGTTTTCGTTATAAAAATAAAAATTTGCAATACAATAGAGATATACATGATATTCGAGTATCTATAGATAGATCTATTCGTTAATTTTTGTTTTATTTTTAGACCAAGAAAAAAAAAAAACATGCGATTTTGTAGTTTGATAAATTCAACAAAATTTTTCACAAAAAAAAGAAATTTTAACTGTCATAATCTGTTCGTTTTCGAAATCGATTTGCATTATTTGGTTCACCATTTGATGTAAAAAAATCATCATCATCTTCAAAACGAGATCGAGAAGTACTAGTACCGTAATTATTATTATTATAAGATGATGAATAATTCGGTTTTTTTGATGTAGTTGGATAATCATCATCTTCATATTTTGAACGTGATATTGGTTTCGATGTAGAATATGATCGATCTTCATTATCATATTTTGAATGTGTCATTGATTTTGATGATGAATAATGATTATCTTCAAATTTTGAAAGATTTGTTGATTTCGTAGATGAAGATAGATAATCATCATCATCATATTTTGATGATGACCAACGATTATCATTATCATTATATTTCGAACGATTTATTGGTTTTGATGTTGAGTAATTATTATTATAGGTAGAACGTGTTATGGGCTTAGATGTTGAATTATAATCATCATCATCATCATCATCATCATCAAATCTCGAATTAGGCTTTTTTTTTAAAGATGATGATGGACGATTATCATCATCATCATCATCGTATTTTGTACGATTTGTTGTTTTTGATAATGTTCCTCGATATTCATTATTAAGATTTAAACGATCGGATGATCGTTGATAATTTTTGTTATCATTAAAATCGTAACTTTTATTTGTTTTAGTTGTTGTTGATGTTTTTAAATAATTATATTTATCATTATCATCATCATCATCATCATCATAACGACTATATGATTTTTTTGATGTTGTAATTGTATGACGATCGTTTGTTTTATTATATATATTATCGTCATCATCGTATATACTTGATGATGGTTTTTTAATATTTGAAGAAAATTTATTTGTTGACAAAGATGAATTATCAAATCGATTTGTTGACTAAGAAGAAAAAAAAAAGAACAATAAACAAGAAAAATTTTCTTTTTTTTTAAAAATTTACTTTTGATTTTTGTTGTCCATAATAATCTTCTTCATCATCACTAACATTATCTCGTTTTGATAATGAACCATTTGTATAAGATTTAGTATCATGTATAAGAGGACTCAGATTTCGTCGTTTTGTATCATTTGTTATCGATAATTTTGGACTAAATCTTGATAACATATCTTCACTTTTTGTTATTTTAAGTGTTGATGATGTTGACCATGGAGTTTCTTCAGGAAATGATTCATATGTTGATCGAAATGCTTTTGGATCATTACTAGTTGATCTTTTTATTAATGTATCATTACTTTGATTTCCACCTAATACTTTTTTTTTCTTATTATAATCATTTGTTGAAGATAATTTAACATCATCGTCATCATCATCATCATCATCATCATTAGCGGCTTTTATTTTATTTTTATTTGTAAAGATATTTGGAAGTTTTTCTGAAGTAATTTTTGCTTTGGAATATTTATTATCATTATTATTTTCATCATTATCAAATTGATTAAATTTTTTATTTGTTCGATTATTTTTTGCTTTTGTAACACGTAAATTTAATTCAGTATAATTATCATCAATTGTTCGAATTAACCATGAAAAACCTTTTCGAATTGATTCATCTACTTTATTTTTATCATCTTGAGGTAATGCTGTACATAATTCCTTAAACAAAAACAAAAAAAATTTTTTTTTTTTTTAATTAAATTTCTCTTTTAAAAATTATCATATAACTTACAATTTTATGTTTTGCTTTTAATTTTTCAATATTAAGTCTACGTTTTAAATCATATTCATTACTAATAGCACCTCTCTGATCTTGTTTATTTGCCAAACTAATTTTAAAGAAAGAAAAATTATTATTACTATTTTTTTTTTTTTCGAAAATAAAAAAGAAAATAAATTACATTAGAATTGGTTTATCTTTAAGTTTATCATTTTCAAGTAAATCTTCTAAAGTTTCTTGATTTTCATGAAATCGATCTCGTTCACTTGCATCAATTACAAATATTAAACCATGAATTTCATCATAATATTGTGACCATGAATATTGACGAAATTTTCTCTCACCACTTACATCAATCATTCGAATACGTTGTTGATTTTTATTTTTATTATTACGATCATTTTTTTCATTCAATGGATGTGTTACCATTGTTGAATTTGAACCCATTGTTGGTGAAACATTATCCGTTGGATCTGTAGTATATGAAATCAATTTGTAGAGAACAAATGAAATATATATTACCTCCTTCAATTGCTCTAACTGTTGATGTTTTACCTGAAGAAATTATATGTGTGTAAGAAAAAAAAAAAGGACAAAGATTTATTACCGGCATCATCAAGACCAAATATACCGATAGTGATATTACTAAAGAAAATTAATTTGAATTGAAAAATACTAATAATTTCAATTAATTTTTTCTTCAGCATTTAAATATAGATTTTTGTTCGAGAAAAAGTGCAATCATATGACTCGATAATTTCCATTTGATAGGCAAGAATAGCATAAATTTATTCTAGCAACATTTTTTTGGATTATACTTTTCACAATAAACTTAGAAAATTTGTTTTCGATCTTTCTTCAAAGCATTTTTCATGATTTTGCATTCTGTTCATATGATACTAACGAGAGAACAAATCCAACTGTCGAATACCGTTCGAAACCTTATTTTGACAATGAATCGGACTCAATGGAATTAGGAAAATCCTGAATGAGTTCGAACACAGGCGTTATCTAACCAGAGTTATGATCGTTTCAATAAGTTTTCGGCCTCTGAATCAACTATTCATGAAAAACTTATGTGCGAAATTTTCATCTGAAATTTTGTCACAATAGACGGCTCTCATGGTCGCTAGAATATTCTACAAATTTCGGTGCAATCGAGTATCTACGAGAAATGTCTATGCGCAAAATTTCAGATGAAAATCTTGTAATTGAACGTTACTATTGATCAAAAAAAAATCAACTCATTTAATGTTAGATTAGCCTTTTATCTAGAACTACAGTTTTAGGAGCTATTTTCTAAATTTGCCAAAACAGTCAAAGTTCAGAAGCAGTCTTCGAAAGCATCTGTTACTAGTGACATATCTACATTCAGACGTGCTTTTATCTTTAGACAATGCTTTATATAGTGTTTAACATCTGTCAACTTATATTACTTTATGTATAAGTCATTAGGAAAATTGCGTTGATTAATTTTTTTCATTCAACAATTCATTCATAGTTAAATACTCAAAGCTCGATGAAATGAAAAACCTTTTTCTCGAATTAATCAGAATATCATAATTATATAATGAAACCATTTCTTTGGACAAAAGCCAAAGACGATATGAAAGTAAGTTGTAATATCATTGTAATATATCGATTTTTACTCATAATTGTTTTGCAATATTCCACTTTCTCAGTAATATCAAACTTTCAAATCTCGATCTAAAACTTTACACATATCAAGACTTCAATCAGATTTACTTGCCCACAAAACTTCAGAATTTTTTTTTTCGATCGACTATCTCTTTGAGATATTAACATCTTAGTGAAAAAACATTTTTTAATAAGTATTGTTTTACGCATAGATATTTCGGAAAATTCTTATTACATAGAAAATTTATTTGAAAAAATGTTGAAACTTTGCAGGAAAACTGCTGTCGGTTTCAAAATAGAATAACTTTTGATAAGATCATCATAGAGACTTGCGCTTTTCGCCAGTCAAGAGCAAAGATCCGAAGCCATCTATGTGTATCAAAATCTTACTGGTTAGCAACTGATCAATCAAATGAGTTTTTTACGAAGATTTTGAAAAAAAGATATTTTGAAATCATTTTACATTGAGCTTTTGACTTGAAACATGGTCAATCGATAGAAAGAACTTTTATATTTCGATTTATACACGCCCCGGTTTTCTAGCCCGTTCACTTCAATCGTTGCAAGGGTTTTCCCGAGACTTCGGAAGACCATCCAAGAGCTTAAAGTGGGAAATTTATCATACTGGATTCCATGGGGATATTTTTTGAAATTTCAAAAATACTGAAATAACAGTCTCAAGTCGCTTGGAAAATGGAAACAAATATCACCATTCGATTAAGCATGATGAATTATCCTTGTCTTGAGCTCTTTTGTAATCTCCCAAGGTCAACTTACTGGAATTGGGGTCTTAGGAAAATACTTGTAACTCTTGAAGTGAACGTGCTAGAAAGTTAGAGCTTGAATAAATTGAAAGAGAAGAACTTCTTTTATTGATTGGTCATGCTTCAAGTAAAAGTCCAATGGGAAATAGTTTCAGAATATCTAGCTTTTTCCAAAATCTTCGTAAAGAACTTACACGATTGGTCAGTCGTTGACCAATCAGATTTTGGTATACCCAGATGGGTTTGAGATCTTGTCTGTTGAAGAGTGAAAACCGTAGGTCTCTATAATGTTCCTATCAAAAGTTATTGAAAAAACAATAGAGTGCATTCTATTTTCCGATTATGATCTTGATATAATATGAGTCAAGTTTTAGATCAATATTTGAAAATTTGATCTTACTGAGAAAGTAGAATGTTTCAAAAATAATTACAGAAAAAAATTTGATCTTGCAGTCAAATCATAATTTTTTCCTATATTATCTTAAGTTTTTTCTACAGTTTATACATCTCTTATGTGTAAACAAAAATTTTAATTCAAAAACTTTTTATCGCCTTGAGAATCTTTCTCATAAGATAATCATTTTAAATTCGTATAAACAACATGTTTCTTCACTTATTATTTTAACCTACTTCTTATCGTCTTTTTGTTGATTTACCGGAAACGATTTTGAACTTTTACATGAGGCGGCACCCATATTTTATCTTTAGTTCATTTTATGTTGCCAATTTATTTACCTAAAGTATAAAAGAAAAGAAAAAAAAATTAAAGGTGTAAGTAGGGCACTTAATCGTCAAACATAGTGAATTGGTATATTTTGTTATTTCTCTTTTCTTTCTCCCCCCTCTTTTTTCTTCTTCAAAAAGTAAAAAAAGTTGACAATAGAACACCATCCAAACGATCTGTTCTATGGCAGCAACTATAAAAAAGAAACCTTTTTTCTTTAACGCAGAGGTCACTAAAAAACAAGCAATTTGTAAATAGTTTTCAAAGAATTATAATTATAATTTCGAATGTAATTAATAAACATATTATCAATAAATTGAATAGATTATTTCATGAAAATATATTTTAGATATGTAAAATGAATATAAAGAAAAACATATATTTAATATATTTATTTCATTGATAAGTATAGTAACGGACAAAAGTTTAGAGCAGTTATATTTTTAAATTTTCTTCTTGATAGTAATAGCTAGCAAGGATTTGAAAGAAAAACATTTGTGTAACTGAAAAGATTCTCTATCAGAATTGATAGATCTGAAGACTTCAGAAAAACTGCTTGGATGAGGATCTGCGAAAAACCAAGACCTCAAAAATATGTTTTCTGGCTTCCATTTGAAACTTTTGAGAAAAGATTTTCTTTGATAGAGCAAAATGAAATGTCTTCGATCTCTCAATGATCTTCTTTCATCGACCTGCATTCAATTTACAAAAAGCCGAAGAAACATTTTTCTTATCTTTTTATTGAAAATGTCAATATTTTTGTCATGTTCGACGCTTTGAAGATTTCTGTATACTGAATGCAGTTCGATGAAAGAAGGTCATTGAGAGGTTGGAGATATCTTATTTTCCTCTATCAAATAAAATCTTTCTCTAAAAATTTTGATTGGAAGTTCAAAAGCTAATCTTGAACGTCTTGGTTTTCTGCAGACCTTCACCCAAATAGTTTCTTTGAAGCCTTTGTACCTGCCAGTTCTGATACATAAATAGTTTTCTTCAGATTCTTGCTAGCTATTACCATTGAGAAGAAAACTTCAAAATATAACTGCTTAAAACTTACCTCCGCCACTATATATATGGAATACAAAAAACATTGAGATCATTTTATTTATGTCTGTTCAAGTTTATATCGCATGTGTATCCCTTGTTCGTCGACCATTCCTACAAATGATGCAGCCAAGTTAGAATCTAAATATTCTGCTTTACCTATTGCTTTTGAGCTGTGCCATACACCTGTATACTGTGCACCATCTGGTCATGTGTATATATCAATATCATTGTACAAATTTGATTGAAGTTCTTTTCTATAGAATGTACCATTGGTAAAAGTTAATTGTTTTGTTCCATGCATTTTATCATGATTCTATAAATCTTCATAAATATATGGGTGATTAGCACTTACATATATGTTTACCATGACCATAACGCATTATTTGACCTTCCTCTGTAACAATATATTTACCATTATATTGATCATCATTAGCAAATATGAATGAATCCTTATGAAGTTTATATGGAGTCACTGCAAAGTATGATTGTGTGATTTTGACGATAAACTATTTGTCATAGTTCTATATTTATCAATCTTTATTTTTACAACTTTTGCTTTTTTTTTATTGAACTGATGTAAGAGGAAAATGAAAAAAATAAAAGATTGTCTTACTTTCTTTTTCTCGCTCGTCCATACATGTTAGAGAAAAAAAAATACAATATTTTCGAATCCTATGGTGTTCACAGTATGCATCACAGTTGATATAATTACCAGTATCGATTTGGAAGAATCAGTAAATCATATAAAAATGAATTAAGAAATAATCCAAGATCTTTTGTAAATCTAATGGTGTTTTTTTTTCAAGTCTAATAATGAATTACTCTCAAATGTGTTGTGTAATATAAGTTTCTCATAGTCGACATATTAGACTAAAGTTTTTAATTTAAGAGACAATTTGAAATTTTGTCTATCTTCGAACAACATTTGCTTGTGAAACAATGTTTGAACAATTAGAAGAATATCGAAGATAAAGTAATTCTTAGTGATATTCGAAAAGAACGAGATGATCTTCTAATAGTTTCTAGTGATTTGAATTTATTTAGATAATCTAATTATCATATTGAAGAAAATAGATGTATAGTAAGTCATGAAGAATAAGTATGGATCTTGATAGTCTTATAGTTTGATTATTATGAAAATACATTCTTCATATAAATTTGACTGATTAATCAAGAACTATCACTCAAATATAAATACAAGGTGTTCCAAAAGTCTGTACGAAAATAAAACTTGAATAACTTCTCAATAGTTCAAGCAATTTATATAAGCATTTCTTGATTTCATTCGATGTTTCTTTAAGTTTTATTTCATATAACTTCAGTTATAACAATTGTTCAAAATGATCTCATAAAGCTAAAACATACAAGTTTATTGTTTTTAAATATTAAGAAAATAACATTACATAGAGTTAAGTCTGGTGTGTGTGAAACTCATTCTTTGAATTCAAATGTTTGGAAGAAAAGTTTTCTAGAAGTCAATGTATTCCACTATCAATGTGCGAAAAAGCTTCATTTTATTGAAACATTTATTGACGAGGAAACTATCTCAACTGACACCTGCTGTTTGAACTTATATTAAACCCGCAAGCACGTCTCAGTAACATTATCAAAAGTCTGAAAGAGTTCCTCCACATTAGACCTTTGGCACCAAGTTATGGCCAGTTCACAAGATTTTCGACTCACTTAGAATATCCTGAAAGTTTCAGCTAAAAAAGAATGTTCATTCGTCCGTATATTGAATTTCCAAAATCAGCCTTTGTTACAGACATGTCGTAAAAGCAATGAGTTCATTTGAAAATACAATAATTCTTTGCAATTGAAACGTTTACGATATTCCAAGAGTTAATATATGTATCTATGGCCATAACTCGGCGTCAAAGGTCCATGCGAATGAACTATTTAAGATTTTAAGCTAGTTTCACTGAGACCTAACTGCAGTTTCAATATGAGCTGCAAACGGAAGGTGTTAGTTGAAGTAGTTCCCTACTAAGTTCTGTCATGATTCTGTAAGCTTTTGAATAAACTTTTCCAATCGTCCGAACATATAATGTCAGATACATTTTCAGCAAAATAACATGAACTTCACCGACTTGTCAAATCTATGATAATTGTAGAGATTTCAGAACGTAATCGATCTGGTACGATATTCGTTTCACAAAAACTCCATGAGAAAATAGCTCTAATGCAATACTAATATAGTATTTCTCTGTCAAATCTGATTAGTAATCTTCATTTTACAATCATAGGTAATCAACAGACGCGTAATTCAGCAGTAAATGCAGCGGAGAGAGCGCAGAGTGAATAGTTTTCAAAAGCACAGAGGGGTCACGCTCCCATAAAATTACGCTCCTAGCAATTAAACTTTGACTATTAATAAGTCTACTTTGATTCTAATGTTAATCGGCACAGCAATTCTATCTAAAATATATTAAATAAAACTTCAATGAATATAAGATCAGATTATGAAAAAAAACCATGTAAATCATATGATCTATTGAGAAGCTATTCATGTTTTATTTTCAAACAGATGTTTGAAACATCTGGTAGATGTCACTTGTTAGTAATTTTATTTTATATGATAGGTCAATGAGGACCAGTCATCCAATTCTTTTCCTGATGATAGTGGATCTCAATGGTAAATGAAGGAATAAATATAGTTTCCTTACTTACATTCTTTCATTCAGGTAAAACTTCTTCTAGATCGATTCAATAAATTTTGAGTAAAACATCAAAAATGATGTTCGGTGGTAGTGGTAGTTCTCAACCAATTATGGTTCTAAGTAAGTAAGAAAGTCTATATTGAACTGATCGATCTTTTCTCTATGTTTCTAGATGCAAATACAAAACGAGATCAAGGAAAAAAAGCTCAATTCAGCAATGTTTACGCTGCTAAAGTATTGGGTTTTCTTTTGTTGTATCTTTAAATTTTAATAATTATCTCTTTTTTTTTTGCAAGACGATTGCCGATACAATTCGTACCTGTCTTGGTCCACGAGCAATGCTCAAAGTTTGTTATCGGTTTTTTCTTTCTTGAATTAATTTTCTTTTAAAATTTTCTCTAATAGATGGTACTTGATCCTATGGGTGGTATTGTTTTAACAAATGATGGCAATGCTATTTTACGTGAAGTATATTATAATAATTGAGTTTTTCAAATTGTTTTATATGACTTATTTAGATACAAGTACAACATCCGGCTGGTAAATCTATGATTGAAATAAGTCGAACACAAGATGAAGAAGTCGGTGATGGTACAACAAGTGTAATTATTTTAGGTAAATTTCAACATATTATATATATAGAATAAATGAAAGAAGAAATGTTTTATTTAGCTGGTGAATTATTAGCACAAACTGAACAGTATCTTCAACAAGGTTTACATGCAACAGTAATTATTCGTGCATATCGAAAAGCACTTGAAGATTGTATTGATATAATGAAAACAAAAGCTAGTATACCAGTTGATATTAAAAATCGTAATGAAATGTTACGTGTTGTTAAAAGTTGTATTGGAACAAAATATTTATCAAGATGGTATGTTTGAAAATTATTTTATTTTATTTTTTAATAATTCAAAAAAAAAATTAGGAGTGATTTGGCTTGTCAAATATCACTTGATGCTGTACAAACGATAATGATTGACGAAAATGGACGACGAGAAATTGATATTAAACGATATGCTCGTTTTGAAAAAGTTTATTGTCTTTATTTTTATTTTTAAATTTTTTTATAAATTAGTTTTTAATATAGATACCAGGAGGTTCAGTAGAAGATTCATATTTACTTAAAGGTACTATGCTTAATAAAGATGTTGTTCATCCCAAAATGAAAAGGTATGGAAATCTATTAATGAAATAGAATTGCAATTTGTTCTTTTGATTTTTTGTTTTAATTTAGACGAATTGAAAATCCACGAATTGTTTTACTTGATTGTTCACTTGAATATAAAAAAGGTGAAAGTCAAACATCACTTGAATTTAGTGGTGAACCCGATTTTACGTATGTATAAATGATTTTTATTTTATGAACTACAAGAAAACAAATTCACTATTCATCTTACAAAGAAAGATCGTCTACAGTAAGTTAAAAAGATAGATCATATTTAGATCTAATAAATGTACTCTTGCTGACAAACTAACTAATTAAAAATATGTACCGATCATAGCATGCATGAATCGAAGTATTCGTATTTACAGTCTATGTCATGTGTCCATACGTCAACGTTACAGTAGTATTTATTTTTCGTTTTTCATCATGGTTGAATAGAGTTTGACGAGTTACATAAGAAAAAACAATATCACACATATTGAAGAGTTATTTTATAACATTCATAATTTTATGTCTATTACCCATATATTTAAGGAAACATGAATTTCGCCATAGACTTTCTGCAACTATCGAAAGAGTATCTGCTCATATTAAATGTAGTCCTCACCCTAACTCACTGATAGATGGACGTGTTGATCACAACAATTAATAGATGAACTGTATGTAAAGCAGATAAATGCTGTCGTAAGTCTTGTTTCCCTTAAATATAAGGTAATAAACACAATGTTTGGACTGGTATAAAATAACTCTGTGACTATATGCCATATTGATTTTTTTCTTATGTAACTCGCCAAACTCTATTCAATCATGAAGAAAAATGAAAAATAAATGTTGTTGTAATTTTGAAGTGTGAGCACATGGCATAGACTGTAAATACTTTGAAATTCGAATATTTCGATCTGTACATGCTATGAGTAGCTCATATTTTAAATCAGCTAGTTTGGCGATGTAAGTAGCCATTTGAACTGAATATAATCAATCTCTTTAACTTACAATACATGATCTTTCACTGTAAGGTATGCATAAGTTCCAATTACATGAGTATCAATCCGACTGGTTAACATTTTACCAGTTATCGATTGGATCTGGTGCATATCTAACATAAGTGAGAGTTAGTTATCATAGAACAAGGATCAACAGAGTTTTGAAGATAACTGAGAAGGTCATAGAAGGTATAAAAAAAACTGTCGAGATTTGAGTTTACCGAAAATTCACATAACTTTTGACAATTTCTTTGTAACTTTGGTATTAATTAGAGAGATTTGTATCAACTAAACTATTCGTGAAAGTTTACAAGATCCTCGTTAAATCATTGACGAAAATCTTGTTGGCAACTAGCGAGATTCTGGAGGTTCATTAGTTGATAGCATGCAATGCATTTTAATTGTAAGAGAAGTCATACTTTTAAAATAATCGATCCTCATCCTCACTCTCATTACTCAAATTTGTCGGTACAGTAAAATGCTAGAATTTCTAGTAAAATATTCTTGAAAGCGATTGAATATCGATGCTATTAGAAATACATGCAACAGATTTCAAAGTTTCTAAAAAACATTTCCTGAACTCTTTTAATTATTAATAGACGTATGTTACAATTGGAAGAAGAAAGTATTCGTGAAATGTGTCAAGATATCATTGCTGTTAAACCTAACGTTGTTGTTACAGAAAAAGGAATATCTGGTAAAATCAAAAAAAAAACAAATTCTTTACACTTTTTTAATTTGAAAAATTTCTATTTAGATGTTGCTGCTCATTATTTGGCTGCTGCCGGAATATCAGCTGTACGTCGTACGAAGAAATCAGATAATAATCGAATTTCACGAGCAACAGGTGCAACAATTGT